GGCCGTGCCCATCCGCAGCTGCCCCGTGCCGATTCCCCCCTCTGTGCAGTTCCTAGCCCAGCTGCGGATCATGGACTACAGCCTGCTGGTGGGCATCCACGACGTGGACCGGGCCGAGCAGGAGGAGATGGAGGTGGAGGAGCGGGCGGAGGAGGAGGAGTGCGAGAACGACGGCCCCGGGGGGAACCCCCTGTGCTCCTACGGGACCCCCCCCGACAGCCCCGGCAACCTGCTCAGCTTCCCGCGCTTCTTCGGGCCCGGAGAGTTCGACCCCGCCGTGGACGTGTACGCCATGAAGAGCCACGAGAGTGAGTGGGGCTGCCGGGGCGGGGAGGGCGTCAGGGAGGTTTTGGGGAGCTGGGGAGGGCAGGGAAGGTGTGAGGGAGGTTTTGGGGAGGGCTGGGAGGGTGTGAGGGAGGTTTTGGGGAGCTGAGAAGGGCAGGGAGGGTGTGAGGGAGGTTTTGGGGAGCTGGGGAGGAAGGATGGAGGGCAGGGAAGGTGTGAGGGAGGTTTTGGGGAGCTGGGGAGGGCAGGGAGGGTGTGAGGGAGGTTTTGGGGAGGGCAGGGAGGGTGTGAGGGAGGTTTTGGGGAGCTGGGGAGGGCAGGGGAGTTTTAGAGGAGTTTTGGAGGGCTGGGAGGGTGTGAGGGAGATTTTGGGGAGCTGTGAGGGAGATTTTGGGGAGCTGTGCAGGGCAGAGAGGGTGTGAGGGAGATTTTGGGGAGTTGTGGAGGGTAGGGGAGGGCAGGGGAGCTGGGGAGGAGTTCTGGAGGGCAGGGAGGGTGTGAGGGAGATTTTGGGGAGCTGAAGATGGCAGGGGAGTTGCGAGGGGCTGTAGAGGAAGGATGGAGGGCAGGGAGGTGTCAGGGAGATTTTGGGGAGCTGTGAGGGAGATTTTGGGGAGCTGGGAAGGGCAGGGGAGCTGGGAAGGAGTTCTGGAGGGCAGGGAGGGTATGAGGAAGATTTTGGGGAGCTGGGGGGAGCTGAGAAGGGCAGGGAAGGTGTGAGGGAGATTTTGGGGAGCTGTGCAGGGCAGGGAGGGTGTGAGGGAGATTTTGGGGAGCTGAGAAGGGCAGGGAGGGTGTGAGGGAGCTGTGGAGGGCAGAGAGGTGTGAGGTGGGGATGAAGCTGGCTGTGCCCAGGGTTCTGAGCCCCCCTGTGCCCACAGGTGCCCCCAGGAAGGAAGTTTATTTCATGGCCATCATCGACATCCTCACGCCCTACGACACCAAGAAGAAAGCTGCACACGCTGCCAAGACAGTGAAACACGGGGTGAGGTTAACAAGTGAATGAAGCATTTCTGTTTTAACTTGGTGTGTTGAATCTGAGCTGTTACTTAAAAAACCTCTGCCTTAGGGAGGGAATTCTGTAGCTCCCAGGGAGGGAATTCTGCAGCCTCAGGGAGGGAATTCTGCACCCCCAGGGAGGGAATTCTGCAGCTCCAAAGGAGGGAATTCTGCAGCCTCAGGGAGGGAATTCTGCAGCTCCAAAGGAGGGAATTCTGCAGCTCCAGGGAGGGAATTCTGCAGCTCCAAAGGAGGGAATTCTGCAGCTCCAGGGAGGGAATTCTGCACCCCCAGGGTGGGAATTCTGCAGCTCCCAGGGAGGGAATTCTGTAGCTCCCAGGGAGGGAATTCTGCA